GGGTTTAGGGTTTAGGGTTGAGAGCCGGTCTAACCACAACCCCTAAGCCCCAAAACCCGACACGCTCCACCATGAAAGGCTCCGAGCTTCTATGGTTAAGGGAGGGACCGATGCCAGAATCTGACCATGAACCCAGAACTCTAAAACTTAACCCTGGCTAAAGGCCCTACGCTGCACCTAAAAGAGCCCAAAACAGAGGGTTCAGCGACGAGGTTTTAGGAGTAATCTTTTTCTACGTAACTGGAATCCCACTTTTGGGCCATAGGGTTTTTGACACTCTTGGTACACTTCTCGATCTGTTTGAGCATTTAGGGTTGAGGAGTAACCTACTATTTTAACAGCTGGAATCCCAACAGAAGGCAGGGTGCTTGTCATAAAGCGCAAGCCCATCGCTGCATGGCTGCACGGCCGTCACGACCTGTGTGCAACTAAACCATTTCCGATGTCAAGGTTTGTATATATCATATACGGGTTCTCAGAAGGACTGAAGGGTTCTTATCAGAATTCCTGGATTTTTAAGGATGGAGGCGTCGGGGGTTAGGGCCTTGGGGCTTGGCGTGAAGCCTTTTGTGCAAAGGGGCTCCGGGTTTAGGGTTTTGGGATCCGTACGACATGAAATCAATCCCCGGGCGCCCAGCAACCAGCACACATTGAGGGCTTCAGGGGTTTCAACTCGCAGTGGTTATATAAGGGACAGGGATCCCGAGACTAAACTAGCGAAAACTTTCAGGGGGGTCCGAATCGGGGTGCCCTCTGGGTCTGCCAAAGGCTGTGCCAGGTAAATGTCGTTGAACCTGTGCGGGCTTTACACGGCGAACATGCACACCCGGTGATGCCAGAGAAAACCTCGGAACATCCAATGAAAACCTGCAGCACCCTCAATGAGAACCCACAGTGCGGCTACAGGCCCCCCTAAACCGTGCCCTCGCTAAAGACCCTAAGCGACCCCAGAGTGCGGCTCGAGGCACCAGCATCATCCAGAAGCCTTCGTCTTCGGCGCGGGCAGCGGGGATGTCCTCAAGCTCCAGGGCCTGTCGTGCTCAAGCGTTCTGTGAAGCGGCCTTTGATTAGGAATTTTGGTAGGTGTTAGGGGCACATCCCATAACTTCGCCCCAAACACCCGAGGCTAGATCACAGACCCACCACATGCCTTCGCAAGTGCTGGCTCTTCATAACCTAGACCGAACTGATTCGGGCTTCAAGTGCTCAGTGCTTTAGAGTTTGCGGGTTGCATCAAGGGTTTGGGGTCCAAGAGGCCGGGGGCGGCTTTGTCTACCAATTTCCACCAACCCTCACAGGCAAGTCCGGCCGTGCGGTAGCGGATCTTCGGTGGTCGGCCAGCATCTGTAGCCTGACAGGCCGTCTTCTACCGTCTGGAGCTGGGTCGGGTTCAAGGAAATTCGCGCAAACACATAAATATCAGGTCGAATTTCTTCTTCCGGCTTGCATTGCTCAGGGATGTTCAGGGCTTGGATTGGGGCTTTAGGGCTTAAGGGTTTAATCTTCGTCATACACCCTCGTCAAACCCCAAATGTTAAGGTTCGGGCTTAGGCTCTGCTCGTCTATGGAACCGATCACCTATCCAAAGATGATCTTGGTCGGAGCAACATGAGATGTTAAAAGGGCTTATTCCACCGGTGCTCACACTCGGACAAGCCAAGCGAGGTTCAGAACGCTCCGTGTATGTCAGGTGAAACGGCCGCTTTTCCAATGCCAAGACCACAATGTGAACCGATCGGACTATTGCCTGGGGGTAGACCCACTTCATTTCCCCTTCAACGAGCCAGCTTTCAAGCGCTTGTAGCGCACGTATGCGCACGTGTAGTAGAAGTCGATTAAGTCCGCAGCTTCGGCTCCCAGGGACAGCCAGACAGCAAGCGTGTGCCCGCACACGACCTCCCTTGGGGGCACTGAAGCCTTTCCCTGACCGCTGCTTGAAGATGACCCAAATTCCTGATGCCATTCGGGGTCTTCTCCGTTCTCCCGCCCTGTCCCGGATTGTATCAGTACTGCATCAGTGCCCGGGAGTTAATGGTCGAAAAACGAACGGGAACTGGGCGGCGAGGTATGAGAAAGAGGTACTGTACGAAAAGAACGAGGCAAGGGTGCTAAGTTTGGACGTAACCCGCGGATTGAGCCCTATAGCCATGCAGGAGCCTTCGGGACCTGGCATTCCTCGGTTCCATCTAGGATCGTGTCACTTGCTTCCACAATGTCCCGTCTTAGGCCCCAGTGACCCCGACCTGATCAGGTTGTTGGCTGAGGAATGAGGGTTGTGAATCAGTGATTCTTCTGGAGCACTTAATGCCTTGTTGCACACACAGCGTCAAGGAGGCGAGTTTCGAGGTCCAGGAGTATAAAGGCATCACCGAGACATGAACACTGACTCTTTTGTGTTTTAAGAATTAGGATGGATACTGGGTCCCCCCTTCAATCAGACCCCTGGCATAATAGATCGTCCCTTGATAGGGCTTTTGCTCGACCCAGCGGATCCAATACGTAACGTCACCCGGCTGAGTACCACACACTCGGGCTCTCAACCAGAAGGTAGAACAGTCCATAACGGGCATGAGGACATCATGGATTGACGGAGAGCCAGCTTCCGCCTGCTAACAGCAATCACCCTGCAGAGCTCATCCGAGCAGCCTGGGCGTCTTTTTTGTCGCCATGGACTCCAGCTCTGTTCGGGTTCTTGCCGGGAGGTTATCCCTGTAAAGGGAAGAAGGGGTTGCTTCCGAGGACATGCTAAAAATCATTGAGCCCAGTGACTGTGGGTATTGGACCGGGATAGTACGCTTACATTGAACGGAAGTGTGTTTCTTCATCTCGGGTTTCCGCCATGTTGATTCAGCTCGTAACTTCTCCTAGAAGTGCATTTGGATGGTATCAGGTGTGGCAGTTGCCAAACTAAGAAAGTGAGGCGAAGACCTGCCGCCTCCGATTCCGATGCTGCCAGTGTGCTGCCAGTGTGCTGCACGAGCATGATGTCTGCGAGGACCGCTCCTCACAGAAAAAAGGCCTGACCGACCAGTTTCCCTCAACGGGGCAAGCACCGAGAAACTGTAGTGCGAAAACGAATGGCTCTCAGGGCCTTGATGCACTCCACAACTTGCTGCCACATGATGGTCTCGCAAGCTTCAGCCAGGTCAACTGGCAAACCCCCAGCAGGGAGACCTGCCTTTGCTTGAGGTCGAACTGCTCCTGAACCGCTTGAAGACGGTGTCTGGCGAGCATATCAGAGCCCTTTAATTCGCGCAACGCTTGCATTTGCGCCAGCTGAGCCTTTGTTGCGTCCTCGGTGGCAACGGGACGTTGCTGCAACATGTTGCAACCTGTCGACATAGCAGGACGGCCTGAAGTTTTCAGAGCTTGGACACCAACTTAACGTACAGCACCGACACTAATTACACGCGACGGTCTGCTGCTCGCGGCAGCCACCGACCGCCGTGGAGAAGCAGCTCAACCTTCCGCATGCCTGCCCGGAAGTGCTGCTGCAGCAGTCAAGTTCTCGCAGTTGCTGGCTGTACGACAAAAGGTTTTCGCACTTTTGGCGCAGCTGCTGTGCTTCGAGTTGCGTCTACAGCCTTTCCAAAACTTGAGCGAAGTAAGCTTGAGCCAAAACTGCGAAGTGAAGGGTGTTTTGGGTTTAGGGATGTTGGGTTTCTCGATCGACGTCTTTGGTGACAATACACCGGGCACATTTAAGCCGTTGTGCTGCAGTTTGTCTCATTGCTATTTCAAGACCTATCTGCCGCTGGACACGGGTTGTGTCAAGTAAGCGTGTAAATTTGAAACTGTCCTGAAAGTTGGGCCAAACCAGTCCCTATTTTGCAAACCCAGAACCTTAAAACCGGAAGGTGCAGCAGAGCAGCGTGGTGGGTCAGGCCAATGGGAGAAGAGTTCACGAAAACGAAGCGGTAGTTCCCGCCTCAGTGCAAGGAGGACAGGGGTTTAGGTTTAAGGTTTAAGAGGGCAGCTGGATGCAAATTCAAAACACTTCTTGCCGCTTCTTGCCCGTAGAAGCCTGCTCCTACAACCACAGAACAATGCAAGCAGTGTCGTACTGCCCCGACAACAACGACGCGAAGGAGGAGGAGGAGGAGGGGGATGACGACGAAGACCACGATGTCTACCACCACGCCGACTAAACCCCAAACCCTAAACCCTAAAACCCTAAACCCTAAACCCTAAACCCTACAACCACGACTCCGACCAAAGCCAAGACTAAGACTAAGCCTGCGGCTGCTGCTACTACCACCATCACAACCACTGTAATTTAGGGGGCCTTAAACTCGGGGCCTTGGGTTTAGGGTTTAGGGTTTAGGGTGTTGTAATAATGCATATGTACAGAGTATACTGAGAAACCCTGGTAACAACATTACGAAGTAATTTGGCCCTAAACCCTTAAAGGACCCCTGACAGGAACCCCTGCAAGAACCCGCACGCAAAAGCATTAAACCGCAGCAGACACCCGAAACCCTAAACCCTAAACCCTAAACCCGAAACCCTAAACCCTAAACCCTAAACCCTACACCCGAAACCCAAAACTCGAAACCCTTTGCTTTGAGCAGGGGCTGCAGCGCACATCGCCCCTGGCCCCAAACCCTAAACCCTTCTTGCTACTGGACTCGACCTGCAACCAAGCCCTAAACCCTAAAAGCCCTAAAGCCCTAAAGCCCTAAAGCCTAAAGCCTAAA